TGTTTGTTTTGTGGTACTGGAGAATCTAACCCAGGCCCTCCACATGCTAAGCAAGAGCTCTATCACTGAACTAAACCCTACACCCCTCCCCCATGTGCTTCTTTTTATTCAACTCCATTATGCTCATACTACTTTGTATCCCCCATTCTGTCCCCTTCTTGGGATTCCTGTTTGTTTCTGTCCCCCTTCTTGAAGCAAATAAATTTAGGCAAAAATTTAGACAAAAGATTTAACTGACACTCCGTAATTGTCACAGAGCCAAGCAATAGGGAACCAGTTTCTTTAATGTTTTCCCTCTGGGTGTCATACCTATTCCTCTTATAAAATCCTTTTCTACTACTCCAGCTATCCCAAACTCCTAAAACTTACTAAAGGAGATGAAGACACTAAAATTTCTGTTTTCCCTCCTCCAATTTCCACCTCTTAGCCTCTTGATGTTTCCAACCTACAACAGCAAGCAACTACCACACTGAGTGGGTGTTTGGGCTTCATGACATTTAAAGTCCCTTCTAGTTCTAAAGTTTTAAGGCTACTATTCATGGCAAACTTTCATAATGAAAAAAAAAATCTCAGTTATCCTGTAACCAGTGGTAAAACTGACTAAAATATTGGCCTTAATATTCTTTTATTTCCCTAGAAAGGGTTCCTCATTTCTAAAAACTACTTGTAAAAAAATTAAAATAAAAAATGTTGGACGTGGCACACACCTGTAATCCCAGAACTTTGGGAGGCTGAGCCCAGGAGCATAGAGAGTTTGAAGGCAACCTGAACTACATAGTGAATTCAAGGCCAGCCTGGACTAATAGTGAATTCAGGGTCAGCCTGAGCTATACAGTTAGCCCCAAAGGGTTAGGTGTAGCTCAGTGTTAGAGTGAAAGGCCCTGGATTTGATCCCCTGAAGAGGTGAAAAGACAGAAGCAAAAACAAACCAAATGAGAAAATACAGTTAATGTGTACAGTGGTTAAATATTTTTCATTTTTTAATTTTAGCTTCGAGGTTTTAAGAAATTTTAGTATTAACAGCTTCTGACTGCCTGTTCCCCCAAACCCCCAGGATGTGCTTGAACCAGCCCTTACAGAAGCAGGAAAGGAATAAAAACAAAGAGAATGACAACAGGCAGTTGGGCAAAAGGAGAGTCTCATCCAACCCTAACTAGGATACCCGAACATCCAGTGCTGTTTTGCTGATAGTAAGGTTTATTGTTCCTATTGCTTTCAAACAAAAGTGATCTAAAATATAAGACTAAACATAAAAAAAGAAAACTACTTAATACAAACTTAGTTTCAAAATGGGAAAGCTTTTTCAGCTATGAATGATTTCAGCTAATACATAAAATGTGAGGAAACACCACCCGCATACACAAACTTTCTCTGCAATGTTGAACTTGTTAATAAATGTGATTTCCACCTGTTCTTCTAAATCATATGTGGTATGCAACCTCATCTTTTAAACTTATATTGCATTCCACTGAACATGCTCTATGTTGCTTTATGCTCTTCCCGATAATAAGTTGGCAATTCATTTATAAAATACACCGAAGGCCCTCTGGGATAACAAACGTTTATTCTATCATATAGGATATAAAATTAGTCTATTTTGACCCATATGCTCATCAACAAAGTTAAATAATTCCTCCCTTATTATTTTCTTAGCTTTTATAACAAGTTCATGAATTTATAGTTTATGATATTTTCACGTCTTTTTAAAAAAGTACCCCAAATTCACCAACTCTTCCAATTCCAAGACATTCCCCTTGCTTTTTTACCTTCTGCGGAAGAGAATATTCGAGGCAAATACATATAACAGTACCAAATGGACCTGTGGTATTGTTATATGTATTTAAAGACAAGGCAGGAAGGGCAGAAACTTTAAGGTATCATTTTGTCATTTCAAACATCTCACAGGATTCTTGTAGGTTCCCTTCCCTCTTTCCAAACGTAATAATCCCTGTATTTATCTTTTTTCAAAAAAACATGTGACTCGTACAAAGCTCACTGTGTATTTCTCAGTTTTCTACCACTTTTTGGATGACGTAATGTCATTTTTTGAGAAGAGACAAGCAGAAATCTGAACAACTCCACTTTTTCATATTTTCTACATTTCCTATTATCTCCTTAAAATTCTGCCCAGCATCCTTAACATTTTGCTGCTTTTATTTTGGTCATTTTAGTCAACAACTGAACACTCAGGCTCTCTCTCATGATCACTTTGCTTTTAGAAGAATGTGAAACTACAACATGGTAATTTTCACACAACATCCAAACATTAAATGGGATTTTAAAAGGTATTCTCTCAACATGTGCTCATAACTGAATCAGGAGGCAATATTCTTAAAGGGTATTCATTTCTCAACTGTATGAGAAGGCATGGAGGAATACTCTGCAGCCTAACATGCTGGTTGTACTCACTCCCCTTACATGTATTTCAAAAATCAGTCAATTTGACACCCACATTCATTATTGCTGAAAAGTAAGAAACACTCTATTCATTTAGAATTTCTATTTTCCTTCCTCTGAAGGGATTCTGAAAGGAAATGGAATAATGCAAGAGAAGGGACATGCTCACCACCCAGAAGACAGACTCCTAAAAAAACAAGGGGGAAAACCAGACAGCCTGGTTTCAGCCACTCACATCAACAGCTCTTAATAATCACATGTTTAAAAAGGTGACACCTAACCACTTTTTAAATTTGGACTCCCGTTCTTTCCACATATGATGTCTCAGAGGGCAAGAGCAGATCTTACGCAATTTGTGAGTTTGGCTTTCTCATCAGCTGATCTGTACTTAGAACCTGCCTAAGCCCAGAAAGGTATGCATTAGCAGCTAAACGCAGTGCAATCCTTCAGATGCAAACAACCTTCAAGCACACTTAGTCAAGTATATTCTTATTGGAGTTCCAGAAGGCACATACTTTAGAAAAGGTGGAGTAGGCGAAAGAGCTTTGAGTTTGGTTTTAGCCTGTAGTTCAAGAAAACTAAACCATGGGTAACAAAAGCACACCAGTAATCTCACCCACTCCACCCACCCACATATACACACACAGGCATAAAGAGAAGTAAATTGCAATGCTCAGTCTCACATTTCCAGAGTTCTCATAAGAAGGGCAGTAAGAAGACAATATTCTAATGCCATAAGGTAGATTGTATTTGGCAATTGGGAGGTTATGCTGCATGACTTTTCTGGAAAACTTCCAATTCCCTAGCTACTAATGCAATTCTCAATACCTCAAATAACTAGTTTTTAAAATTCAGCAGGCTAAGGGTTAAGACCAACACCTCAGAAAAAGAGAACTTGGTTCAGCGCCACCCTCTCTAAAGCAAATATCAACAACTCTGAGTCAGATCCACTCAGCATATACAAGACTCCAGGGACATGCCAAAAAAACAGGTGAAAAGAAGTTGAGTTTCCTCAGGTTTCACACCTTACAGCACCACACTCTTCAGTAGATTTCACAAATTTATGAAAGACACAAGAGTTAGATTAAATAAAAAGCACATATAAAACTCTAAAGTACTTGAAAAGCATTAACCAATCATAGAGGTCACTACAAAGCAGCAAGAATAACTAGAGTTTCGATGAAGAAGGTCAAACAGTTCCCATGGAAACAAAATCAAAACAAAAAGATACGGAAATAGAACAGAGGCCCTAGAACTTAAGTTTTGGAAGGAAAGCCCTCTAAGTAGAGAGTCAATTCATATATCAAAGAAAGAACATAAGGAAATGTCACCAACGGTGATAGGAGTATCACTACTATTGACCCTGTATTTCTAGAAACACAAGTGTTCACCAGAAAAAAACAAGCAGTTAATGACAGCCTGTATGTCACTGTAAAGGACAGCCAAGGAGCACCTGGTCTTACTTGAAATAGGTAGGAAGAGATGAGTCACTATTTTAATTCTGTTTAGTATGCTTCACATCCCAACCCTCTAGGTCACAAAACATTTTTTTCCTGTTTCCATCACTTATCAGTTTCCCCAAATTTGTGGAGCTGGGTCAGAATACTGGGGGGTGAGGCAAGAGGTAAGAGTTACAAGCCATTTGGATGGTACAAAGAGATACTAGGGTTGGGGTTTAAGTCCCTGAAAGAGCAGTAAGTAAAGAACTAGTTAACAACTAGCAAATGATTAAGACCAGACTCCCTCTCTTGGACAGTGCTCAATATCCTTCAAAGCTTTTATAGTAAAAAGCAAACAAATAGCTCTCTGGAGAGAGGAGGAAGAAAGAAAATTTAGGATGGGCAACAGGTAATAAAATATGATAAAGAGTTTCATGAATATCAGTTATCACTCAGAATAGGATGGGAATTGGCCCCCAAGGCAAGCTACATTCTTCTACAGGTAGGAAAAGGGATTTCAGCAGCCTTGGGCCACAGAAGGTTACAGAAGAGGAGTTGAGATGGTTATCATAGGAAATGTGTAAAAAGCAATTCGATTACTCACAAACTTCTGGGACCCCAAGTCTAACTTCCTCCCCAGGGGAAGGTTTATTACCATGCTGGGTCTAGAAGGACATTATCAGGAGAGAAGTTCTAACCTTTTAAAAAGCAACAGGGCAAAGAAACTGAATAGAGAAATAATGGGAAGCCAACCACCGTCATGCCCCAATGGCCACAGGACCTGGGCAGGAACCCATTCCAGTAATCCAAAGACAATCGTCCAAGGGAGGAGAGAAGGTAGGGCCCAAGTCAGGTTAACATTCCTGAGGGGAAGGATTATCAGGTGACACCGGGATGAGGGCCCCAAGAGGGACCGAGCGGGAGGAAAGTTAGCAGGTGAAAGGGATCAATCATGAAGAAGGAAGTGACCTTTTAGGAGAAGGAAATAAGAGAATACCGAAAAGGGGGGGTAAGGGTGAGAAGAGAAAATGGACCCAGGAGAGCACAGGGGACCAAAAAGAGGCGTGTGGGGGTTCGAGAGGCAGAAGAAAGGAAGTAGGGCTGAGAACCGGCGGGGCCATGGGGGCGGGAGGGCAGAGGTGCGAGCTGGGCAGAGAGAGAAACCCTGAGGTAGCGGGGTCCGGGCCAGGTGGGACTCCGGGGCTTCCCGAGGTCCCGGAGGGGGAGAATTCGGATTGCCGAGCCAAGGACCCAGAGAAACGAGGAAGGGAGGCGCGGGGGCGGCTCCCGAGACACCGGCAAGCGCCCCCGGGGCGGGCTGCGGAGGTCTCCGGAGTCCAGCGGGGCAGCTATCGGGCAAGGCTGAGGGAGCGGGGTGGGAGGGACACTCACGAATTTCTTGGATTTGCCGCCGTCGCCTCCCGTCGCAGGCAGTTCATCCGGGCTCCGACCCTTCTTCTTGTCCCGGGTCCCACGGCCGGGCCCCGGGCCCCCACCGGACGGCTCCATGTCCGGGTTCGCGCTGGCCACTGACCCCGCGCCTACGCCGCTCCCGCCCGGCTGCTCCGCGCCAGCCGCCGCCGCCGCCCAGCAGCTTCTTAGCCGGCCGCCGCGCCCCGCCTCATTAGCATGCCGAGCTGCGCGCGCTTCATGAATATACAACGGTGACGCCTCGCTCCCGCCCGCCTGCCCCACTTCCGCCCGGACCCGCAGCCCCTACCAATGGGGGAAGGGAAGGGGGTGGAGGGAAGCCGCGCTACCTGCATGCGGGCCTAACCATTCGGACCCACGTGGGGGGGCTGGGGGGTGGAGTGGGCGGTGCAGCTCTCAGTGGCCGCAGTGGGGAGCACCGCCCCCTGGCGGCTGGAGCAGCGCAGACTCGGCTCCTAAGCAGCGCCCACGTGGCTATAAAACCTAGACCTTGCAGCCCAAAACAGGGTATTATTATCTGAACCAAAATTCGAATAAGACTGTTATCCTGGTAGGGAATTTAGTGTTGGGCTTTCAGGGATAATGCAGTTTTCAAGTGTTTAATACCCGTGGAGCGAGCATATGAAAAAAATTAAAATCGGAATGCTACCATGTATTTAAAGACATGTGCCAAGAACAGAGCTTTGTTCAGCTCAAGTGCTAGACTCTGAACTAGACTAGCTCTGGAGTTACATTGCCCGGTTCCGAATTCTAGGTCTGCTACTTTCTAGATATGTTCCCAATGTGGACAAATTAATCATTGCTAACAGCCTAAGCACCCAGTGGGCCCTCGCAAAAAACAGTAATCTTGACCACAGCTGGCATGAGATCAAGTGTAAGTTCCTGGAGGTCAATCAGTGACTTACTCACTGGAGCCCCCAGTGCCTTGTTAGGGTAATACCAGGGACTCTGCTGAGCTGGGTGGCTCCTAAGTGTAGCCTCCATGTCCCTAGAGCTCCCTATCTTCCAATTACTTAATGGAAAGTTGCATAGAACTATCCAGGCCACATTCCAGAATAGTTCAAAAACTACTCAGTTTCTAAGCTAGAATGTTCAGAAACAGGAGTGAAAGGATGGGAGGAGTGACCCCATCTATCACTCCTCTTTCTTGTACCACTGCTGACATGTACATTTATCATACTCTTTCCTGATTATAAACTCCTCCAGAAAAGGGTCCACATTATGATCACTACAGTACCCAGCTTTTTTTTTTTTTTTTTTGCTGCACTGGGGTTTGAACTCAGGGCCTCACGCTTGCTAGGCAGGCACTCTTACCACTTGAGCCATTCCACCAGCCTCCAGCAATGTTCTTCACAAAGACTGTTAGTAAGCAATTTTCACATCCTACACTATGCTAAGCACTCACCATGTTTCATGTCAGTGTATCTTCACTAGCATCATCATGCCAATTACCCATGTTCCAAAATATGAAGTCATCTTCTACTCCCTCTTAAACCAGTAATCTGCCCATGATTACCTAACTTTTAACCAGAATGTTCTAAAAACTCCCTATATATAAGCAAAATAATCTACATAGAACACAGACATAGGGACTAACATAGAGTGCTGAATGAATGTTATTGTATGTATCATCACCCCTATTCCTCTCTCCCTTCATACATAGGTATGTAGCAATAATTAAAGAGTCCCAGAAAGGTACAAAAAATACCAATTTGGTTTATTGGATAAAAAGTGGTAAAATGGACATAAAGCCAAAAGTTAGAACAAGACATTTTCATATCCTTCCCTACTTGAAACCGCACTACATCATCTGGGGTTAAGGTGTTAGGGAGCCAAAGCCTCCAAAACTCTTATTCTTCACCTGCCCTTGAACAAGGCCGCAGTAAGAAAACCCAGGAGAGGATGCCAAAGGCAATCTCAGTCCTGTCTACCCCTCCACCCCTAAAAGTCTCTGGGTTAGAGGGAAACAGGGAAAAATAAGGGGCCAGAAGAACTGGGGAAAGGCCTCTAGGGCCCAACACCCATAATCATCCAGAGACAGTTATCCCTGTCCCCATCCCATCCTGAGGTACCATCATCAAGCTGTGGTAGAGAAAGGAAAAGGGATTAGATGGTTCTAGAACCATATATGGTCTTCATGTCCTTCCCCTGAATTAGTAAGAGCCCTGGGGGTGACCAGCCCAGAATTGGTGAAACCACATCTTTCCCTCCCACACAACCAAGAGGTGAAAAGAAATTCCATGGAACACAGCATCCCGAGCTGCTCTTAAATCTCCACATCACTTTCCTTGTCATTGTCATGGTCTCCATCATAAAATTCATTGGGTGCCTCTGGCCTGCAAAGCAAGAGGAGAGAGATCAGGAGCTTACCCTCCAAGTTCCAGTCTTCTCCCAGCACCTTCTCTGGAGCCATTTCTCAGGCTCTCTCTGTCAAGAGAACCATTCCCCTCTTCTTGTTGGCAGAGATTGATTGCTATGCATTCACCATTTGCATAATCAGTAAACATTTCCAGAGACTACTTTGTGCCAGGCACTGTCAAAGACCCCAGCAGGACAAGCGCCGGTGGCTCACGCCTATAATCCTAGCTACTAAGGAGGCAGAGATCAGAAGTATCTTGGTTTGAAGCCAACCCCAGGCAAATAGTTGGTGAGACCCTACCTCGAAAAAACCCATCACAAAAAAGTGCTAGTGGAATGGCTCAAGGTGAAGGCCCTGAGTTCAAACCGCAGTACTGAAAAGAAAAAAAAAAAAAAAGACCTAGAGAATTAGTCAGACAAGGTTTCCTTCTATCCTCAAAAAGCTTACCTAATAAATGAGATCAACAATAACAATATAAATAGATACAGTAATTTCAGATGGTAGAGAGTCTATGAATAAAATAAAGTGACATGACTGAGAGTGATGGAAGAAAAGGGTGATTTCAGAGGGTGGTTCTAAGAATGAAAGACCTAAAGTCTGAGAAGAAGCTGGCCAGGAAAGATCTCAGGAAGACAATTCCACACCATAAGAAAACCAAATACATAAATCATAAGGTGGTAAGAAATTGCTGTGTTTCATAAGGACAAGAAGGCCAGGATGGCTAGGAGTTGTGTCCATGTAGGAGAGTAGTGACAGGTAAGATCAGGGATACAGGGAAGGACCAGCATGCAGGGCCTTTTTAAGCCACAGTCAGAAACCTGAGATTTCTTCTAAGTGCAAAAGAAGTTTTAGCAGAAGATTGACATGATGTTATAAACTTGAAGTGAGAGGAACATGAAAGCAACGCAGCGCTCAATAAATATTTAATACTGGTTTCTTTTTGAAAAACTATTCTCCGGGGCTGAGGGCCTGCTCAAGTGGTAGAGTACTTGCCTAGCAACGAGACCCTTAGTTCAAACCCCAGTACCGCCACAAAACAAAAGAAAACAAACTATTCTCTGAGACAAGCAGAGAATTGAAAAAGTCACCAAAGAGAAGCTGAAGAACTCAGTAAGCTAGGGAAGGTCCTGTCCACTCAGTGACCTATGTCTGTTACCTCTAAGTGCACAAGGGTGGAATGTATGGAGTCAAGTTTGAAACTCAGCCCTGATATTTAACTAGCTGTATGATCCTAGGAAAGTTACTTAACCTCTGAGCCTTAGATTCCTCCTCTGGTAATATTAGGGTATGAGCCCCCTCTTCAGGTTGTCATGTCAGGATAAGAACATGATGATATGCATGTTGCAATATAAAGTACTTAGTATAGAGTCTGGTACTTGGCAAATCTTCAAAAGTGTTAACTCTTTTTATTGCTACTCTGCAAGTCATATGCAAGCTGGAGCTATGAGCATCAAAGAACAGGAACCCAGTGAGTGCTCTGCCAAGGAGGTAGGGTTAGAAACAGGAAGAGGCCTGAGGCATCTGCTAGCTGTTGAAAGAGTATGGTATAATGTGGAGACTAGATCCACACGTCAGCCTGAAACTATGGATGAAAAAGCCAAAATTCAAGAAAAAGAAGAACCTAAAAATAGGTTTGCCAAAGCAAATCAGACAGTGAAAATCAATTTCCAAATGTCAAGCTTTAAAGACCTGGAGAAGATAAAAAGGAGATGATGTTTCAAAAAAGGAAGTACCGAGCTGGCAGAGTGGCTCAAGTGGTACAATATCTGCCTAGCAAGCCTGAGGCCCTGAGTTCAAACCCCAGTAATCCAAAAAAAAAAAAAAAAGGAAGTCCTGAAGCCAGATGTTTTGATACTTCCTTCTACAGGCCAGGGACTAAGGGGGTACTCATGAAGGAGGGGAACTGGAGAAGTCCCAAGGATCACAACAGTAAAGCCCAGATCCAGAGGAGACAGATGGAAGCCAGAACTATACGGCCCAGAAGCACTTACAGGGGCTGAGAAGCCCATCCCAGTCTGCAACACAGACAGCTTCAACCTCAGATACTGCATGGTAGCAGGACTGGGTGTCCTGCACTGTTCAGTTCTGCTTGTCCCTCGGTCACATAAGGAGATCTATTCTCCACTAAGTGCATCTCTGTCTGCACTTCTGGGTTCTGTTGCCCTTTCCCTTCATCTTTTCAGAAAAGCTTGTTTGGGGTTTAAAAAAATCTATCCTGGTCTTTGTTTCCCCCAAATGCATTCCATCTATAAATATATTGGTATGGATCTCAGAAAGATAAAGGCTTTTTTTGAAAAATAAAAGAACAATGTAACCACTATACACTTAGCAAACCTGATAAAGTGAACACAACAGAAAAATCAAAGAGCTTTATAGAGTATTATGTGGGCAGTGACCTGTCCAGCTCAATACACAGGACTGAGCTGAAACAAAGGTAAACTGCCACAGATTTTTTAGAAGGCAATTTGGCAGCAAATATGAAAAATTTTACTGCACACAGCCTTTGACCTAACAGCAATAATTCTAGGACTCTAACTCACTCAAATAAGCATGCAAAGATGAATAAATAAAGGGGTTCACTGCCACACTTTTTACTGCTGTTATAATAAAAGAAAAAGGGTGTGTGTGTGAGAATTAAATGTCCGTGAACAGTAATTGTTAAATTATGCTATAACCACACAATGGACTATTATACAGCTGATAAAATGCCAAAGGCAATCTATATAAGCTGACATGGAAAGGTACATCTTTTTTTTTAAAAAGTCAGGCACAGGGGGCTCACACATGTAATCCCAGCTACTTAGGAGGCATCAAATGGGAAGACTGTGATTAGAAGACCTGGGCAAAAAGTTAGTGAAACTCCATCTCAACCAATAAGCTGGGCAGGGTGGTACATATCTGTGATCCCAGCTACCCAGGAGGTTGAGTAGAATGATTACAGTCCAGGCCAGCCCAGGCAAAAAGGAAGACCCTACC